CGACTTCACCCCCGCAGGTATAGTCAATACATTTTTATGATAAAGGGGGATATGTTTTCAAATGAGTTGTCGTCGTTTCTGTTTATTACAATATATTTTGGTTTGTTTTCACTATTATTGTTTCTTAAAAAGAGTCTGTTTATATCGGGTGGTTTTGCCATTTTTGGATGTTTGTAAGGGTCGCGTGAATTAGGTGTATTCACTCTTCGCGATTTGTAGTGGAGCTGTGTGCTCAATTAGTTCTTTTAATCACTTACAAACCAAAAATTGAAAATTTTAAAGAAAAGTTTTTTTTTTTGAGAAAATTTACTTCTGCAATTAACAAGCAGTGTTGTAAAAAGTGTATTTTATATTATAATTTGTTGTTTGCTGTTGGAACCAATTATGCCTTAAATAAAAAAAACTTCTAACTTGTATTTCTGCAATGAAATTAGTCGTCGGTTTGTCAATGAATTCTGAAAAAGACCAAAAATTGAAAATTTCCAATTTTTGCGCCTTGCTTCTTGTGCCTACGCACACACTTTTCTAACTTCTGACCAACTTCTAACTTCTTTCTTTCTTGTTTCTATTTATTATATTATCTTAAATAATATAGTAGTGTAAGATTTTTTTCATTTGTACTCCATTTTTTCTATTTTCTTTACTAACGCCACCTTCTTAACTGTAGGCTCTAATAACATCACTGACAAAATTAGCTGTGAAAAGGGGCATAGCTATCCGGACGGGCAAATAAAATACCTCAATCCGTTATTAAAAATATTTGTATTCGAATTAAGCTTTTAGCATTTCATTTTTATAATCTTATGTAATACATAATTGGGCTGACACTCGTTCATAAATTAATAAATAAATAAAATAAATCTGTAGACGCAAGAACGCAAAGAAATTACCAAATTTTGCGATCAAAGCAATAAATTTAATGACTTTTGTATTGGGATAGAAATGGTTATTGACGAACCCTTTAAAATTGGCCGTGAAGCGGCTGACCAATGTGGTCTGTTAATAAACTCTCGATATTTATGTGAAGACCTCGATTATACTACAAGCCCTAGACAGAAAATGACCATTAGACTAACCGATACAACCCCTTTTAATTGCACTCCAAGGCGATTATTATTATACTATAAGAGGGAGAGAGTAGCTGAAATTATTGAACTCATAGCGGTAGCTGCATTTGGTGTTGGAAGAAGAGAGAGTAGCTGAAATTATTGAACTCATAGCGGTAGCTGCATTTGGTGTTGGAAGAAGAGGGTTCAGGGTATACCCTAGTCGGGAGCTCCCGACTTGTTTTGTTTTTTTCGGTGGTGGGGGCAAGCAGTGTGGTCTGTAACGGGCTCGAGCCCTATTAGCTACCTAATGCCGAGTACACCTAGCTGGATATGGTGTTTCTGGAAGAGGGTTCAGGGTATCCCCTAGTCGTTCATTGTATTCCGGCAAAATACTTATTTTCCACAGAGTGGAATAAATGTAGTATTGCTTATTTAAAATACAAACAAAACTAGGCCGGGGTAAGGCGGGTGATAAACGATTGACAACTTATACATCTTTTAAAATGCTCTTATTAATAACTAGCGGGTATTGCCCGGCCGTTGAACGTTTTGTGCTAAAAATTGTATATATTACCTTTCCACTAAGTACACGCCCGTGGAAAATTTAAATCTATCTTGATCTCCACATCTATTTCAAAATATGTTTTAAGTGCATCGAATAAAGACAAAAGTGTGGGAATCAACAGTTTCCGCCCATGTTAGTCTTGTGGGCAAAATCATGAAACTGAAGAATAAACTTTCATTTATTAAACCTTTGACCCGCATTTGCCACTCAAGAACGTATCAAATAAATTTACACAAAGATCTTTGCAAATGATTTTGAAGCCGATCGGATGGTAAGCAAAAAGCTTTCATACAACCGTTTTTCGCTAATTAACCACTGTTGTGGGTGGAATTTCCCAAACACGTAGCAAATTAATTTTCGTATAGATCCTTGAAAATGAATGTGAGCGCGAAACGTCTTAAATGATTTTCCATATAGAAATGAATTTGAGCGCGAAACTTTACCCACCAAATCTTTGACCCCCATTTCCAACAAGGAGGAATGGATTTGTTGAAAAGTGTGAAACACCCCTCAAATAAATTAGAATAAGGATCACAGAAAAAGTTGCATACAAATGTTTTTCGCGATTATTCCACTCCTGGAACTACAGCTTCCTAGCTCTTACGGTATGGGCTGCGCGTTGATCACCAATCAGTCAGTCAGTCATTCAGTCAGTTAGTCAGGACAAACAGTTTTATGTATCGAGATTATTTTTGATATTTATTTAATTAGGTATATAGACTACATTTAATGGCTTACATTAATTATAAGATATTCATGTTAAATTAACATTTACATTTATGTTTAATTATTGAAAACAAAACATTGCCAATGCGAACAGTATTTCTTGCACAGTAGCCTCCGCCAATTTGAAAATTCGATATTTATAATGAGTCGTAATCGATAGTAAGCAGCCCTCATTCGCGCATCGTTGTCACGCCGTTGCCGATAGTTGAAAACTATCAAAAATTCATCTTCTAATAGTATCGTTGCTGCACATCAGTCGACAATTGCCGCCGTCACGTTGTCGGCAACTATTATTTGCTTATATTTAATGAAATACGCAATAAAGTTAAGCTCTATTGCAGGAAATGGAATTCTGGTAAAAATTGAGTGAAATAGACACCGCGCTCGACTTATTTGGACGTTCTTTAACTGGGTTTTCCAATGCACTTAAATAAGGAGCACACGGCTGTTATTGCAAAACAGCTGTAACAATGTTATGCAGTAAAAGTTTAGCTAATAATTTCTTTAAATATAAGAGAAAAGTTTTTTCAGAAATTTCTCAGAGTATTAGGCGGTGTATAGGAACTTCTCAGTTACCCAAAGTTTTGTTTTTTGGCACTGACAACTTTTCGTTGCCAAGTTTAAAAAAATTGCACCAGAACAACTTGGACGTTACCGTCGTTACCTCCTTTAAGAGTCCCGCGAACTGTGTGCGCAGTTTTGCCGAGGCGCAAAAACTTTCTTTATACCGATGGCCAATATCGGTAGAGCAGTGTGCTGATTTCGAGCTTGGTGTTGTGGTGTCTTTTGGACACATGATACCATTGCATATTATAAACGCTCTTCCCCGCGGGATAATCAATGTTCATGCCAGTTTGCTGCCCCGGTGGCGCGGTGCTGCACCGATTATGTATGCTATTATGGAAGGCGACGCCAAAACGGGAATTTCCATAATGAAAATAGAGCCACATCAATTTGATATTGGGCCCGTAAGAACAAGCCATCCGCAAACGAATTCGCACAACTCAACTTGCTACTTTTTCAGATATTGGCGCAGCGTGAAATGCCTATTAAAAGCACTGTCTACTTGCCAGAGCTTCATGATGCCTTGTCGCAATTGGGTGCCGACTTGCTTGTGGACACAATCAATGACTTGGAAGAGAGACTTTTAAAAGCGCAGACGCAAAACGATACGGCGGCCAGCTATGGTAACCTGTAAATATTAAATTGACTCCCGTATTGATAACTTTTAATCTCATAGCACCAAAAATTACGTCCCGAATTACCGAAATTGTTTGGCATGAGCAAACTGCCATGGAGCTGTTTGCCCGCCATCGTGCACTTTATGGGTTTAGAAACCTAACTACAACCTTACAGGACAGAACAGTGTATCTACTAGAGCTTAAACAGCCTGAACTGCAATTAACCGCGTCTCCTAATCCAGCTCCGGGTTACATTTGCTACCATCGTGTCCGGAAATCCTTGATAGTTGGTTGTGCACGGGGTACCCAGCTGGAGGTGTTGCAGCTACGAATCGAAGGTAAAAAACCAATGAGCGCGCACGATTTTAACAATGGATTCCTTAAACGGTCACAATCGGTGCAATTTACGCAAAATAAACAAGTAGTCTTCTGTTAACAAATTCTGCTCTATAGAATTTTATTAATGATGTAATAGCGGCAAAGCTTATGCCAAATTTGAGGGCTTAACTTCTTTGGTTTCCGATGATTGCTGTGTGGATTTTTGCAGCAGATTTTTAGTGAACCACATCGGACGTGGCTTTTTCATTTCTACTATGCGTTTGCCGCTTATGGCATCTGTCGCTTGTTGTGCTGTCTCGCCTGCGTATAAGACAATCACCTCCTGCTCGATTGGCTCCAGACCTAACTGAGTTTGTATTTTATCCTGCATGAGCTGAGTTTCCTGACGCACTTTATCGTAACAGTGAGCTGTAATATTTGATATAAGTACGAAATTGTTTAGGGTTTAGCACAACTTACGACACAGGACTCCCAATTCGTGATCGTGGCCGCATTGCTGGCAAGGTCGCAGGTTCTTCTTCTCCTTCAGTGGCTTCCATACAAACTCTGGATAGCCAAATTTTCGATTTAACCGTTTCTCGACACTTCGACGGTGCTTTGGTACTGCCCAGAGCACGCCATCGCCAAGAAGATTATTGAGACTTAACTTCTGTAAGGTGTTGGTTCTCGGGATACTGTGCTGTTGGTGCACTAAATAAGCCAACGAGGGTGGGGGTCCACAGTTGGGCAAAAACAGGCGTTCCAAATTATTGAAAAAGTTTGTAATTGATACAATCAAATTACGAGACATGCTTAAGCTGTAATTGGAAAAATGAATTTATGTAAATGTAGGGATGGGACCGACTTATATCGATGTTAAATAAGGTGCTATATAATATTCATTGCGATATATCGCCTCTGTGTCAGACTATTGTTTTTACCATGAACATGAATAAACTGGTACATAATTTACGGAACATTCTTGTTGTACGAATGTGTTGCATTGATCAACATTAATTAAATAGGGAAAAGCTTAAATATAAAGTTGAATCAACGAGATTATGTTATCGATATGTTTAGAGTGAACGACGACTATTTGATTGTCGAACATAGGTTGTCAGCTCTGGTATTTTTTCCAGACGGCGGCCTGCACAGCTGTTCTTGCATTATTACGTCAAAACAAAAAGTTCTGTGACATCAAGTTTTAGAAATGTGTTAAATGAAAAGCAAGACTAACTTTCAACGAGCAAAAAACAAGTCAAATGAAACTTTTCTAGAGTATCTGGAAGAACGTTAAATATGCTGCCGCTGGTCATGCAACAGGCGTCTTAACAGGCAGTAGGCGCAGGGAATTCCAGTAAAAAGGTCCAGGCAAGGCTGAGTGCAGTGCATCTCAAACTGCCCAATTGACATGCAGCTTTAATCTGCCGCCGAATCTTAAGCCCACCAACGTCAAGTTCAAAATCAGCGCGCTCGGGTTTTCTTGTCGTCTGGCTGTCGCATTTCAACATACTCCCATACAAACTCACCACACAAATCTCAACGGCCGCGCAGGCGTAGCCAGACAAGCTACGTGCGCAGACACCAGTAAAACGCGAAACACTTCACTGAAGCTGCTGCAGTTGGACGCAAGCAACGCGCTTTGCCCGTCTCCAATCTTTGTCCCGTCGTCGTACGTTATTGCGCGTGTTGTGTACGTCTGTATATGTACCCGTGTGTGTGCCTATTTCTGTATTTATTCTGTTTCTGTGTCGTCTATTTCGAATCGGAACATAAGCCTATAATAATGCTGTTCGGAATTTAAGAAATATTTGTTCATGTTTCATCACAATTTGTAGGCTTGGAGCAGCGAAGCTTGGCAATTTAAATTGCAAGGGGTTTGATTCATTCAACGAGAAGCCCTCGTTTTAGACGGATAAATAAAAAACCCAAATCAACAAAATCATATCAAAACAAATCGAAATAAACAAAATGGCCTGCTTAAGTACTTCCGGTCGAGTCGCGTGCGGTTCGCGTCGCCAACAAGCGCTCAAATTTATTTGTCGGTTATTCCTAAACCCCAGCTTGCGTCGGATGAGCAGCCACCTGGCAGTTGGTCAAGCGCCCGCTGAAGGACATGCTAGGAAATACGTACACTCACTCAATCAGCAATTGGCTCGTCGCTTTTATGGATTAAGCCTCGGCACTAACCAGGATTACCTCAGCCTGCTGGTGAGTAGAAACACATCGACGGCCCCAGTGGCCAGTGGCCAATTGGTGGCGAACCCGTTGATCGAGCATTTAACAAGAGTGTATTGCGCATGCTCAGAGTGTTTGCCGTTAATGCGTCTGCGTGACTTTGGTTTTTGCTGCTGTTGCTGTGGCTCGCTTTTCATTTCACTGCAAAGCCAAAAGAAAACGAAAGTGAAATTGGTCGCTAGTGGCTGCGGCTCCGCTGTTGGCCATTGCTTTTGTTCAGGTAGCGTGAAAAAGCAAACGGCCGTCGACAACAGCAGCAGCTGCCGCCAGACATTGGAGCAGTTGTGCATGCAGCATTGGGCAGTGCCGCTGCTGTTGCTTTTGTTGGCGGAAGCCCTCATTTATTTATTATGTTTATGTTGCTAGTTTTTGCGACCTGCAATTTTTATCATCGCATATTTGCAAGGTGAAACATTTAACAATTTTCTTCAAATACACTTTTTCAAAATATTTTATAATGTTGGCCTGTTGTCATTTACTTTGCCTTAATTTTGTCGCTCTCCTTGTTTCGTTGCCAACATAGATTTTTATGCAGTTTCATTTTTTTTTATCGTTTTCCACTTTCCTTGTTGCAAAAGTGTAACAGCTGACTGAGAACTCCGAGCACAGTACAGTGTGTCAAATTGTGTAATAAATTCATAATTGCATATTGAGTTCAATTGTGTGGTTCCTTTTATTGTTGTATTGAAGTAAAGGAAACGAATTTGTCATTTCATTTAATTATTTAAGAATAAATCTCTTCCATAAAATAACGTATGTATATATGAGATTTATTTAATTATAAGAAATTCTATTACCTGTCGTATACCTAATATTTTGCTTTCCATTCTATTGCTCGCACTGCCTTGAATATGTGCAGGTATTAAAATTTAAGCACTGCACAATTAGTGCATAATGCTATTTTCGGATTATTGTTTTAATGCACGCAATTCTCGCCGCCGGGCGGCCCTGGATGAGAACTTGAGGTTGCTTTAATGGGTTTAGCATTGCACTTTTCACAGTCCGTAGGCCTTAGTCCATTGCATTTATGCAGCGCATTACCAGGGCTATAAAATGCTATGTAAATAATTTGTTTATAGTGTTCATCGTTTCAAGGTCTTGGCATAAATTAGCAATATGTATTTTGGAAAGATTGTTTGTGCGTATGTGTGGGGCTGCCACTGGCACTTGGGATCGAGTGCCAACAAAAAGTAAAAAGGTCAAGTGCCCATAAAAACACACATTTTAATTGACTCTTTTGACACAAATTAGGACCACGAAATGCTAGTTTAACTTAATAATCAAAGCAGTAGAAACCAGTATGTGTATATACAACATATTAATTTAAATTATATGAGTTATTAGGAAAGTGATAAAGTTAAAACTAAAATTTGTATGCATTCGACGTTTTTGAATTATTTATGCATTTTCTGCTTGAAATTTGGTAAATCCAAATAAAAATTCATTCAGCGCCAATTGATTTTACGCTTAGCTCACACACGCATACATGTACACACCTGAGACACTGATACGTTCATCTAACCCTATCATAGGTAAACAATAAACAAACGCAAATAGAAAGCGAACATCGCAGCAGCAGCGACGCGGGCAGCGACAATACTAGCCAAAAGAAAAAATACCGCCAACAATAGTCTTCAATAGCAATAGCAACCACAACAACAATATATATATATATATATACATATACATATACATATGTATGTATGTGTATGAGAAACTCACTCGACTTTCTTCTTCATTTCATTTGACAAACTGCGACATCGCATTCGCTGACGCCTCTTATTCATGTTGGCAATATTTTGGCCAAAATTATATTAGACTTCAATATATGTACATATGTCTATAGGCACATCTACTATATATACATAGTTACATACTCTATGAACTTCAGGTCTGTAAACGGTGCAAAGAAATGATTATCAACATAAATGCGCAACACGAACAATTTTTAGATATCGAATTGCTTTGCATTACTTATAGTTCGTTATCATGATCTGCGCATATGCTTAAGTTTGTAAATTTGATTTCAAATATTTTCGAAATTACACGAGTATAAAATCTGCACGAATGTGCTTCGCCTTCTGACGCTGTGTGCTTGATGTTGTTCACTTTCATTTCGAACGCGTGAAATTTGTGTAGAGTTTAACGGCTCCGTGTGAATTTGATAAGCAGTTTGAACTGTTTGATCAGTTGGAGCCATGGCTGCGAACTGGGCTATACAGGCTGCCCAAAGCATCATTAGGCCACGAGCTCTTTTGTCTGACTCGCTTGGCAGTCAGCATTTTGCGCATTACTCACAAGCTGATGGACCCAAATCCGAATCTCGGTTGCTCGCGAAAGTGAAACCAATTCAAGTTGCACGTTTTAGACCTGTTTTTTTTTATTTTTATTTATTTTCTTTATATTGGATTCGACTATGTTAATATTTTGAAGTGGTCTTTGATATTACACTTTTAGTCATATTTTCTAACGTTTTCTTAAAAGCTTGCTTTATAAATTGTTTTATTTATCGTATCTTAATGCGATATTTTAAGCTTCCTGATTTCAAATTTGTTACTTGGATTTGCTTCTCTAAACATCAATTAGTGAAACAATAAAAACTGAGTACATGCAATTTCGATAATTGCAGGGTTTTTACTGTATACAAATTTTAGCAAATTCTTAAGCTCGATTTCAATAATCGGCTTTAACAACATTATCTTATTTTTGGGGCACACAGATAACTATTCCTTTTGGTTAATTTGTGGCACAGAATGACGAAAAATAAATGTACAATATTTCGCTTATATATACGAAAATATAAATAATAAAAGATAACAATAAAAACCCAGGCTAAATGCTAACAACAACAACATCTGTCATATGTATGATTTAGCCATATCTTAAATCTTTGTCTTTGTTACCGTGTCTTCATTTTTGTGTTGTTGTTTTTTCCCGCTGGTCACTTTCACTGGCAAATGAGATTGCGAGACGAGCCAAAAAGCGAATTGCCAAAAAGTATTCAAGGAATGCAGCCAATGTATACAATATTAAATCCAATAATAAGCGAGCGTTCTGCGCATTTAATCATATGCTGACAACGTATGTAAATGAAATTGAAATCAATAAAAATGAACGCACAGTGCATTGGGTATAGTGTCTAATTGAGTTCCGACGACATTGGCCACATTGTTCCGATCCCAGGCATGCCGAGTGAAGCCAACGACTTTCATTCACATGCCTTACACCTGTTTTTTGCTGCTGCTGTTGGTGTGTGTGTGTTTTTCTTTTTTTTTTTTGACTCATGGGCCTGCATTGGGTCTGAGTCTTTTGGCTGTTTGGTTATTTCGCTTCATTTCTTTGGCTCGTACTTGCTGACCTAATTCAAAAGAAGCATGCGTTTCGTGGCTGTTGTCCTAAACTGGTTTTGTGGTTTCGGGCCGCATTGATTTGCGGCTCTGGCGGCCAACTGTTAACTGTTAATGATTTCTGCGTTGTTTTTCACCCAGCAACATTTTCGAATTTCGATTTGAAAGCCAAAGAAGCGCCGCCATCGTGTAGCTGTTAAAAGCAAGTTTGCAGCTATTGAGCAGCAGATATGTTGCATAACTGCACAGGCACATACCCAGTTCCAGCCTCAACCCCAATCAGTTCGGGAGGCCGATCTCAGCTGTCGGCCCACATTCCATTAAGTAGATTCTTTGAGGCATTGGCCCAACATATTCAATACTTTATCAATAAACAACCATCTCGTATCTACTTACATACAAATACATTAAATATTCCAGACTGATTACATCACTGGGTAGCCCTTTGGCGGCTGACTCTGATTCGCACACGCGGACCGCTAATTTCTTTTTATCGATTTTTGGCCATCATTCTGAAGCTCTGAGTTGGTTGATGCATATATTTTTTGTTTGGCCCTATTGTTGATATTAGCCGCATAGACTGGCGCAATTCGGACGAAAGATTTCACTTTATTTACATTTAAAGTTGGTTAATTGTTTGCCATGAATCGATCAACGGAGTTAAATCATTAAGCTTTGACTTCCTGCTTAGACAACAACAGCAACAGTAACAACAACAACAATAACAATTATTAAATCAAGCAGCAAGTACATAAAGTTTGCATTAATTTGTAGCACGCGTCGCATTTGATTATTGCAATTGGTAGTTTGGTATTTTCGGGTTTGGAATTCGGAATTTGGAGTTACAAGTTTGTCATTTACTTTTTGCTTTGGCTGGCTTCACATTTTATATAATTTTCATTGGCTGCAGGATAAACTTGAATTTTACTGGTTTTTGCGCATAGACTTGTTTGCAATTTGGCTACAGCTTTAAGTGCATTTTAATCATTTTTTTCTTTGGCTTGCTCTTGACAGTTTTATATAATCACTTGCGTTCAATTGTAAGTCATTTATTTTGTTTTGAACTCGCAATGCTGAAAATAAAGTATTTTTCGGCGATTCGATTAGTCGGAAGAGAAGCCTTTTTTTTAAACAGCCCAGATGTGTATTGTCTGTATGGAAACTACGAAAATTCTATTTATTAATGTGGATAAGAATTTATTTAATTTACTGTATATAGTGTAACCTCTAGTACCTAGAGCTATAACCGTAGGACCTAGGAAGCTAATAATTTTCTGTAGTTACCTGTGCGATGAAAGTGCATGCTAAGACTGGGTATTGGGAAAATTAATCTGCAGGTGTGGAAGAAAGAAAGAATTGCATACCTGAGTGGAAAATGCGGGTCAATAATTCACTTTCACTATCTAACTTATTCTCAAAGACATACATCAGAACTGTTTCGGCGATATGGGACTGATGATAATTTATTGTGTGCAACTTTTCAATTTACTTTCCGATCGGCTTCCAACTCATTTTAAAGATAATTTTATGTGTGCTTCACACACCACAGTTGAGTTGACAAAGCCATTCCCGACTGAAAACCTGCCTTACTGAAACTAGTCTGTAACTTTTGAAGGTACCTATGAAACTTGACAGATGACCTGAGTACTTGCGTGCTAGCAGTATCGGACCATAATTTGTATTCATCGGTCACGACATTTTCGGTGGAATATAATAAATTTTTGTTTATCATGATATTTTGATGATATTTTTACTGTATTCTTGATAGGTTAGATCAATCGATTAAAAAAGAATTCGTATAAAACTTAAACATTTTAAAAAGTTTTTGTTTTATTTCTAATTAATTTTAACATTTACAAGCTTCAAAATTCTTTCAACATACATATCACAATCAAAATCTTACCAACATCTGGCAACTATGTCATTAGGTCCCATATAAGCAATCAGCCTGAAATTAAATTTTTGTATGCCTAAGAAGAATAAATGATCTTTCTTGATTTCTTACAGTTTTGGCTATTTACAATCCTTTTGCTCACATACATATCTCTGTCATTTTTATTGGCGCTGATTGGTTCCTTTAATTTTGGCATTGTGCAGCTACGTCAAATTAACTTAAATAATATTGCAGTGATTTAAAGTACTTATTTTTGATGAGCCCATTGCTGCCGTCATAAAACCGTGACATATGGAAATTGCAACATCTTCGGGCAGCAGTCTTTCGCCATCTAACTTTAATATCGTTGACATGCGTTTCGTCACGGCAGCTTCAGAAGCATTCTCAATGCGATTGGTATACGCAATATGTCTAGAGTTACGCTCGAAGCCAAATACAAATTCAAACACAAATACCCAGCCCTCGACACTTAACATTCATAGTCACTTGAAATGCGTGCGATGATATCGCTTCGCTGCCTGTTATATTAACACGTATGCTAACGAGTCTCCGATAAAGAAGAAGACAACTTGGCAACATCAGCTGCTGCGTTACTGCTGTTGTTCGCTGGCGTCAAAAAATATCACAGAGAGAAAATAACACTTACCGACCATTGCGCGCGATTTATGCATCCAATTTTCGTACCGCCTCCTCCTCCTCCTCCTCCTTCACTCCTACATAACTCATCGGACTTTTGATTATGTCAGCAACGTCCACGACAAAGACGATGACGACAAAAAGGGAAAGTCCAAAGTGTCGTGGGCTTGCGTTTGTCTTCGGCCTCTTCTTATCGGCGGCCGTCAACCAAATGCTGCTTCACTTTTTAGTCTCTTTTGGCCAATATTATTATTGTTGTTCAATCTGACATTGTGTTTATTGTTGGGAGCGCTTTTGCTGGCCGTTGTTTGCTACCCGTTATACCTGATCAGCTGAAAATAATAAAACTGTTTTCCTAAGTTAAGCAAAGCAACTAAGTTGAATCGAAAAATTGCAGGTTTTCCCGCCGTCGGTTATCAACTCTCGTTAACTGACAGCAAATTTCACTGCTAGTGGAATTATCTATTAACCCCAATCAGTTATAAACATATGTGTAGTCCCTATATTAATTTTCAATTAACAAATCAGGACTTTCTATTTCCCTGCAATTATCCATGTCATAAATAGAGTACAAGAGTCAGAGCTCATATAATATACGAAACAAAGCAGAAAAGGGTTGGCAAGCCAGAAATAGAAACTGTGAAAACGATGGATGAGAGACATTAGACAACCCGATAATATACAATATAATTATACCTATAAAATCACATCTATGTTTGTCGGTATATTAAAAGTCTGCTTAATGGCATATATATATTTATATATATATATATATGTATAGCAGTGGCATAATGACACATCTTAGCATCTTCACCATTTCCAGTTCTAAGCACTTTCAGCACTTACAAATTGATTAATGTGCACTTGCGGCTCAAGGACGGGGCAATACAAATTTAAATGCTACATTCAATATAGTATTATTACCCGGCTTTGTATGTTTTTTCTTCTGCTTCAAATCAATTTCATATAAGCTGAAAAAAAGAAACAAGACATGCAAATCAGTTTCCGAGCTCTTACTTTTTGGTTGTTCGACAATCAGCGAGTCGCCCAGTCAGGACAAATAGATTTTATATATATGCATGTGCAAAATGTTTAGCATGGATAGAGTAAAACAAGAGTGAATAATGGGTAATATGCAATATTTTGCAATTAATTGTCAGGCTGTCAATCCAACGTGTGCCCAATCAAAATTACATCAATTAGGGCATTTACGGGCTACTTGTAAATCATTAAAAACTTTTTTTTTTGTGTATGTTTTGTCGTCTTGTGTGAGTCGCTTATAATTGTTTGCACATTTCAATTGCTTTGTTGCGATTCGGTTTCATCTTTAATTGTAAGCGAGCTTAGGCCTCTCCAAAATCCGCAAGATTATTTCGTGGGAGCGCCCCGAGGCCCAGAGTTAAAATTCAACGACAGCCACTTAAGTATACTTCGCATCGTTTTTTTGTTTTCCCCCGGTGTGTGTTTGTACTTACCTCTCAATTTGAGTTTCAGGCATCGCACCTTAAGAGCTGCGAATGTTTTTAAGCGTCTCGCATATTTCGCATATACTTTGTTTTCGCAACAATTAACGAAATTACTTTAATCTTGTGCGTCTGCGCGAAAATGTACAAATAAAAGATTCATCGTTTTAGTCAATCAACTGACAATAGGTGGTTCGGGTCCACTGCCTGTCATCTGAATTGCCACCAATCGGCCTATTGCGGCTTAGCCCTCAGGTAAACCAAACCGAAGAACCTAGAGGGTACTCATTTCATATAAAAAATATATACGTCCTGGTAATTATAATTTTGATCCGTCTTTTGGCCAGCTTGGACTACTGTAGGAACAAAGTTCTTGTATACGGATTATTAGGATGTCTTAAAAATATATAAAGGGCGCAATGATATAGCATTTGCATTTCCAATTCTAACGCATTATCTTTACATTACATTTATGTTATTAGTCTGGTTTCCTATCATGTCAATGAGTGCAGTCTGCTTTAAATGTTTCTCTCTGCTTATATAAGAAACGCATAAACTGAAGTCAGTCAAAGTCCTCTGCCCGCCAGTTGCAGCCAAGTGCGACGAATTTTGTGCTTCCTACAATATTTGTGCAGCACGCAATGCCAACCAGAAAACTGAAGCAACTCCAGCTCCACAGATCTATATTGGTAACTGTATTATTGAAGTGACAAGATTCTTTAAGAAGTCCTAGAGCCTAGCAGCACTTTGACATATTCATCACCAGAGGCAGAGGTGATAAGTGATATCCGTAAATTTTGTTGGTTGATGGTGGGCCACCTGGTTGTCTGCTTGGCTGGCTGTTTGGTCATTGGCCACTGACCATTAAAACCATTTAAAAGTGTATAAATTATTCAACGTAGATTGCGAACGCAAAAGCGGCCACAATTAAATGCATTTTTTCACGTTTCTTAACCAGAAAGCAAAAATGTAAGAAAGAAATGAAATGAATGTTGGGTTTTTGTTTTTGATTTGTATACATCTATGTATGTATATTGAAGTAGCCTACGCTTTAAGCTAGGTTTGTACTAATTTTAATTTAACGCACATATTGAAAATGAAACTTTGCACGAGCTGAATTTAATTGGCTTTTTTAATTTGATGAGTTGATTTTGTAACAGTCAAGTTTGGATAGCCGACGACGCCATCGCTTTCTACTTCAAAGCCGCTAAGCTTCGAATATATTGATGACACATACATACATATGTATCTGAGTATGTACATCCATATGTGCACTCTTACTTAATATGAAACTGGGTCATTACAAGCCCAATGTGAGTGAGATATTTTTAATGAACATAAAGGCCAGCGATGGTCAATATTTATATATAAATATATATGTGCGTTCAATACATACGTTTTTTGTTGTATTTTACAATCAACATTAATGAAATGTTATCATCAAACCAGTTGATGTGCTGTGTTGGTCCACACGTGTACCAAAGAGTATCAATTATAATAATGTTTATGACACTGCAGACGAGGACCGGACAGGTAGAGCTGCCAAGGGCGTTAAACTGTATGGCCGTCGATGACGGCCATTGAGCTGCAGGATCTGCATGCATCTGGGTCAACATGCTTGTGCTTGTTTGCGGTTGCAGAGATGCGTAATAGCCACGCCCAACCCACCACAACACATCAAATCACATAACTTAACTCAAATATTTGCAGCTCAATTGGCTTTGGCTCTAAAAGTTGCCTCCGTTTGGCAGCAGCTTTCCGCGAGCTGTTGACAGTTGGCAACATAAAATTTACATGTTATCGTGTTTACATGCGCACCAGTTGTATTGACAGTCGTACGGGCTGACAAATACAAGAAGCAAACATACACATAGCCATAGCCAAGCCATGTAAAAATGCCAAATAGTGACAGTGTTGCATAATTCCATACAAAGGAATAAAAACAAGTAAGAGTTTCTAGTCGGGAGCTCCCGAATAGGGAATACCCTGAATCCTCTTATTCCAACATCAAATGCAGCTCGCGCTAGCGCTCGTTTGCTTTTGTAGTATAAAGAAAAATTAAAATAAAAAAACAAGAGGTTCTAGTCGGGAGCTCTCGACTATGGGATACCCTGAACCCTCTTTTTCCAACAGGCGATAGGTATAAAGTGAAAGATACTTGATATATATATACTGCTTATTCTGGAAGCTACATGCCGAGTTTAGTGGCTCTAGCTTATATTATTTACCAAAATTGCTCAAAAACAGGATTTCGATATCGATTTTTATCGATTACTTAGAAACGGGGCAACTTATCGAATATCGGAAACAAACTCGTTCTGCGGGCAAAGCGGGCACTAAGAGGACCTACTGCTAAAATTTCAAGTCTCTAGCTCTTATAGGTTCTGAGATCTTTGCGTTCATACATACCGCCAAACGGACAGACGGACTTGGCTAGATCGACTCTCAGCTGTTGATGCTGATCAAGAATATATATACTTTATGGGGTCGGAGATGCTTCCTTCTGCCTGTTACATACATTTGCATAATACATAATACCCCTTTTACCCATTATCAATGGGTTTAGGGTATAAAAAGTTGTTCCCTTGGCAGGGTTCGAACTTGCAACTAACCGCACCACTTGCCGCCGCCTCTACCCAACAAGCACACCAATATTTGAATCTTAATGAGTAAAAAACGAATTAAAATAGCAGCACAGACAACAATACAATCGCAATTGCAATGCTGTTGATAGAATTCAAAGCAGACGCGCATGAATGTGTGTGTGTACATGTATACAGAAATTCTTGGAATCTTCAGCTAACACGCACATAAGAAACGGGGCAAGTTATCGAATATCGGAAAAAAACTCGATCTGCGCGGGCACTAGAAGGACCTGAAGCTAAAATTTCAAGTCTCTAGCGCTTATAGGCTCTGAGATCCTTGCGTTCATACATACGGACGGACGGACAGACGGATATGGCTAGATCAACTCGGCTGTTCATGCTGATCAAGAATATATATACTTTATGGGGTCGGAGATGCTTCCTTCTGCCTGTTACATTTGCACAAATACGATATACCCTGTTTACCCATTTTCAATGGGTTCAGGGTATAAAAGCACAAGACTAAAGTGAAAAAAAACATCAAAAGATCTCTTAATTTTAAGAAATACAATATGTTTACACCTTAATATAAGGTTTAATTCTTACGATAACTCGCCTTTACTTAAAAAAAAAACACGCTCATTTTTATACAGGGAATCTTTTGATAAGGAGTAACGTAATACGTATACGTCTGATCGTTTGTTCGTATGTATGAACTCGACGATCTCAGAACCTGAGGTGAGAGACATTAAACTTTTTACGTAGTTGCTCATACTGCCCGCGCTTTACGAATTTTTATAATCATCGATAACTTGCCAAATCCAAGCAATCGACAAAAACTAGATCGAAATCCTGATTTCAAAGATATCTTATTATGTCTTCAGAGCAAGAGTAACCAATTTTATGAGAATCCCGATGAAGCGTGCTGCATTTGTAGATAATAATTTTAATTCCGTTTTTTTTTTGCCAAAAATGTAAAAGGGTATTTGTTGATCGTTTGATGGAGGCGAGCTAGTCTCTCCCACGTCTGGGCGAGTGAATTATTCATTTATTGAACTTTAAACTTGCACTAGATTTTGTCCACGTTCGCTTTAGTTTATCCGGTAATATTTTCACCAAACACAACTAACGGTCCCATTTTTGGAAGAATAAATCATCTCCGACCCAATGAGGCATATATATTCTTGATCTGCATCACAAGCCGAGTCGATTTAGCTATGTCCGTCTTTCTGTCCGTCCGTCCATATGTATGAACGAAAGGAGCTAGAGGCTTGAAATTTTGAACGTGGGTCCTCCTAGTACCTGCGCAGTACGAGTCTGTTTGATATTAATCGATATTCAAATCCTTGTTTTTGAGACAATCTCTTAGGTTTTAAGAGCTAGAGTCACCAATTTCGTCATTT